TGTCTGGTGATGGAAGCGAGGGGTCAATGCTGGGCATCGGACTGACACCTGCATCCACTGTGGTGGTAGAGCTGATGAAGGATGGGTTAAAACCGTAGCCTCCGATTTTAAACACTCTGCCACCCAGATGAGATCTCAGGTGAGCCACACCAGCCCTGACGCCTGCTGCTCTGGCACCACCGGCACCCAACCCAAGACCACCACCTAACCCAAGACCACCACCGAGAGCCAGAGAACCTCCGCCAAGGCCCAATCCAGCACCTGCACCGGCCACGGCCCCGGCTCCAGCACCAAAACCTAAACCCAAACCTCCTCCCCTTGCCAGGCCGAGTGAACGGGACAGAGCCGAGCTGGCGCCTCCACCACTCCGGGCTCCAGAGAACAGACGGTTGCCTCCATAGGTGGCTCCAAATCTGACGGCGCCCCCACTGATCCGCAAGCTTGACTCTGTCATTTTGCACTCAGAGCTGGAGTCCAGGAGTCCCGGTGCTCGGTCAGGATGCACTGTTCCTGATTGGTGCTTTAAATACCCAGCTCTTTGAAAGGCCGCCCAGAAAGCTTGACTGTGCCAGTGAAAGTCACATGTCCTGACGGACAGGCAAGCGTCCCGCCTGCAGGCACTGCTTCTTTTCGACATGTTTGGGGTGGTTTAACTGCGTTGGTATGTGGGATGGAGAGAAAACAAAGCCTGGAGCAAGTGTGATTGACATTTTGGAAGTCATTATATCTATGCAAGACACTTAATATGATCACACTTGTGGTGTTTTGGTGGTCCTAATTACTATGTACTTACATTTATTACTAACATTTATTTATTTACTGGGTGGGTCAAAAAAAAAAAGGGATTTTCAGGCATCAGAATATTTTTATTATGTGCATTAGAATGTATCCTGTTTAATCATTTCTTTTTTTAAGGAAAAACTAATGATTTTTAATATATTTTTACAACGGGCGGTTCATTTCCGCTGTGGTGACCGCTGATAAATAAAGGGACTAAGCCAAAAAGAAATTTGAATGAATGCATTTTTAAGTTACAGAGGGCCACTGAAACAGCATTCAATGTAACAATATGCTTACAGACCAAAATAATTTGTCAGGCTTATTTATAGCACGAATTTAATGACGTCAGAATATTATAATTAAGAATCACACTCACAGGGATGATCAAAATACTAATTAACTGTTATTTAAAATCATTGCAAGTATCCTTTAATCTGTTTCAGCTACTACAAGCTACCGATTTGACAGGAAACGTTTAATAATTTTGATTGGAATTAAATTTAGAACGTTCATTTATTTATATATAAGTGCAGGTCAGAATAAGTATGTTGTTTAATTATTACATCAATATATCTGTTGTACTGAATAACAATGAAGCATTATTTTACCCATATTTTGACATATTCCCACATTGGCATGGGACGAAAACTGCTTTTAAAGTTTACCGCTGTTTAAAATAATCAAGGTTTTAAACCACCAACGTTTTCTGTTATACCCTTCCTATGGTATGTGTACATTTTTTTTTTTTGTTGTTTTTTTAACATGTTTTTCACAACTATTCCATTTAGTTTTTTAGGGTGTTTCTTAAAATAAAATAAATCATCTTCAATGGGGGAAAAAGTTTTAGTTTTTTACCAAGACATTTAAAAAGAACATATTTTGGAGCAGTAATCATAATACTGTAAAACCGTGATATTTTTATCCAAGGTAATTATACGATCAGAATCTTGTACCGGTCCATGCCTATTTCGACAAAAGTTATTGTAAACATTAAAGAAGACATTTGTAATTAATATATTTTATAAATATATTTTGATACACCAAAATAAAAATGTCTTTAAATGGCCTACAATACTATGTAACTACATAGTAATACACTTTAATGTAACTACATAATCGGGAAAATTTCCACATTTACCGTGAATGAATGTGAGCTTTAGGAGTTAGGGTAGGGTTAAGGCTTAAAGTATTGATTTTGGAGTAAAAATTGGTTAATTTAACAGATGATCTATAAACAATAATAAAATGCAAGTAACTTTAAGTATAATTGCAAAGCACCAAAAATGATACTGGGTATTTTAAGGCGTCCTTCGCATGTTACATGTAATTACTATGTAACTATAATGAATAATGCACAATTACAGGCATCAACCTCTAACCACTTAGCAAGTACTAAATGAGGTAATTTGTCCTCAGTATTTAAATGAAAAGTTACAGCATAACAAGGATACCTTCAAAAAAAGTGTAACCGTATGTCGGTGCTAATGGCGTACATGTGCATCGAAACATGCACTCCGATGCTCATGGCGACCCGAGTTCGATTCCCGTCTCGAGGTCATATGCCAGTCCTTCTCTTCTATCTGCTCCCCACACTTTCCTGTAAGTATTCTTTACGATCATGTCCAATAAACGTAAAAACCCTGGAAAAAAGTGTAAACGTATATCGACTAAGTACATGCACTGTAAAAAAGAACACTGGTTGCCTTAAAGTTTTATGTTTTTTTTTTACTTATTTTTTCTTATATTGTATTAAACTGACTTAAACAGCTGGCTTAACTCATAAAATTAAGTTGGAAGATGATTAACTTAGTTTAAAAAGTTAAAATTAGCTAATAACATACGTCGTTTTGACTTATTGAGCATATAATTTTTTACTTTGTAGTAGTAAAATCAGTTTAATCTAATAAAGTGTGACTCTTAATATTCATTAATGCTACTGATTTGGCTGCAGTGACACTATCTATTAAGAGCAGCATGCTGAAACTCTTTTCATAATTGATGAATTTTACACTTTTATTAAACTAATGTAAACAAATATTGATCTGAATAATTGTGAATATATATGTAACATTTAATATAATAATATTTTGAATAATTATGAGTGTTGTTGAGCTGAATATTTCTTCAGTAAAGTCATTTTTTGTTCTTAACTAGTTTCACATGTTAGCCAAAAAAACTTTAATATCTGCATTACGGAGACATTTTAAAAGAGTTAAGCCTTATTAAAAAAATATGTATATCAATTATTAATTTATGAATAGTTAAAAGTTATGCAGCTTAATATTTTTGTCAGGATTCTTTGTTGAATAAAATGTTGAAAAAAAATGTTTTGTAATGTTACATGTTTTTTTACTGTCAGTTTAATGAAACTTATTTATGCTTGTGTAAATACAGTACAATATGAATGCCATTTCCAAAGTGATTCTATATTCTTGCATTCATATATCGGTCTTATTCTTGTATGTATGGCAGATAAACTGTGAATTTCATGTAACTGAGCTGACAAGCCTGCAAGAGGAGCCTGTCATAAATCAAGACGCCTGTGACAGTGAGAGGCAGGTGAAATCTTTTTTTTAACCCTAAAGGACAAATTAGTATTGCTGCAGAATTGCTGACAGGTATGCAAGCGTGCTGTAACATATTTCAGAGTGTGGTGCTGGGTCAGGCTATACTTTATAACTGTCATTTAATCAGTTGAGCTGTGTCTTAGTTATAGGAATACACTTTTTTATTAAAAAAGAAGAAGCTGAGAATAGGGGCCACTTTTATAGCACCAACTAATGAATGTGCTGCATTACAATCATGAAACATTGAAGGTTTTTGTACCAAACTAGCATGTCCTGACTCTTATCCTTCGAGTTGATTTCATACTTTTATGTATCTAGAGATATTAATTATAAATAAAAATAAAATATCCTCTTTTACCCTATTTTTTGCTAGATAACTAATGAAATGTTGCATTGGTTGCACATATTTATGCATTTATAGACCATTTCAATGTGGTCATTGGCCCATGAACACTTCCAGCTTGTTGGTAAACTATTTCATAACCGTAAAACAAGCGGCAATTTAATCATATCTTAACATAATAGCAGCTATCATAACATTATTTATAAATATGTGGACCTTTTTGGATTCTCAGATGCTATTTAAATTAAAAATGTAACAGGAAATATAATAGGACCATTATTTAGGTCCCTCAAAAAGGTCTATAAACATATTCACAGATGCAGAGAGAGTGGTTTTATTAAAAGATTAATAAGAGCAGATTTATCTTAAACTGTGATTTGTCACACTGCAGGTCACAAGATGCAAATGATTATGAGATGATCTGCAGGTTGGCATGGATTTCGCTGAAACTTTGCCAGAGGAAAAACAAAGGCTTTTGTGAGTGTCCAAGCATGCATGCTGTCTTCTCTGCTTTGGGTGACTTCAGAAATAGAGAAAAGAGTCTTGCACATTATGAATTAGATCAAATATTAAGCAAGGTAAACCAAGGCTCATGTAGTCAAATAAGCTTTATTTCTGTTTTAATAACAATAATGAATTAAAAGTATAAATAAGAAAGAAACATCTTATTTTATTTAATTAATGTGCTTTAATATGGTGAACACAGGGCTCTGCGTATGGTAAAATCAGGTGAATATGATAAACAAAGTTGATTGTAAATTTTCTAAGCTTTAATACAGTTTTATCTTCAGTTAATACAGTCTATTTATAACAGCAGAATAGCACTGTTGTAGTCATCCCCATTACTATTAGACAAAGATAACCCATTTAATCCCACATTTTGTACTCTACTCAAATAAATAAATCAAATTACAACTGTGGTCGATGGGAAACATTTGAAATATACATATATAAAAATATTAATATCTTAATATTAAAAAATAACACACACATTATATTATGATCTTTATATATTGCATATTATTAACATTTCTTATTGGTGTAGAAAACATGAATAAATATTGCTTAACGCGGTTACAATACTGGAAATATCCCTTGACATTTACACTTTATTTATGTGATGATTTATGATAATAGGATAATTTTCATCAATTATCAGGCAGTTCTGATGAAAGGGAAAATGTAAGAATGAATGATTATTACTCTAGCTGTATTACCTTGATATTTACACATTTATGAGGTGATGATTGATGATATGATGTTAATATTAAAAAAGTTTTTTATTATCAGGCAGTCTGGGGAAAAGAAAATAATGAATAATCCTTGTTTAATGTTTAATAATGAAGAAACACCTTGACATTTACACCTTTATGGCATGATTCAAATCAGTTCATTAATTAAAATGCCACTCTGTTTATCCCATTGGACACAAATATAATAGGTTAGCTTTAATCTACAACAAAGCAACATTAATATACATTAATAATAGACCTTTTAAATATTTTATTATGGCGTAGAACCTGCTTATCTTTCATATTGGAATTGATTAAACCAGTAGTTGTGTATGTGGCAGCTTGACAAAGTAAAATATTCCCAATGCAGTCGCCATTTTCTTTCATTTATAGTTCAGTTATGTGCAGCTACTCGTTTTAAACTCAAAAGTACATATAAAGTATGGGATTAAATGGGTTAAATTGGTATAAAACAATCAGCACCTTGGACAGCATCTAGAGACCAAGTTTCCCTTTAAGCACCGGCCCACTGTTGTGTGTTCAGCATCCATTGATTTCCACTTACAACGCATTAGGCTCAGCTATTATTACATTAAAGGACACGCATTATTCAGAGACTTTCTAAAGTCCATTATAAGATGATCGTAGTCCCATTTGAACGCACGTGAACATGCGCCTGTTCATCTTACTTATTTACAAAACCAGTCTTCATTCGTCCGTTATGAAGAGCCATCAAGCTGGACTCCCTCGCGGTGTTTCTCATCAGCAGTGTTGGCCGGTGGATGTTGCGGCGGAGCGGGGCGCGCGATCACGCAGCGGTTGGATGCGGGATTCGGCTTTATTGGGACAGAGGATCCACCGTTATCCCGCTCATATTCCTGCTGTGCCCTCAACATCTTCCTCTTCTTCATCTTGCTTTTGTGAAAGTGGTAGGTGGTCAGTGACAGTAATATAATCCCGATAATGAGCATCCCGAGCACCAGGAGAGCGACGGTGGATGAGAAAGGCTGGAGCACGTGCTGAACTTTCTCCGCGCGCGTCCCGTTAGTCTCGGACGCCCCGTTAAAAGCGCCCCATGAGATCTCAGAAACCTTCATCGTTCACAAATTATTCCACGAGAACTGCGGCTGAATATCCGTTACTCGCTGGTTTAATTTCCAACAATCACGGAGAGCATCTCTGAAGGCGCTGAAAGGAGAACAAATTGGGATGTTTAAAAATTAAAAACGCAAATAATTGCCCCTGGTCTTATTTAATGACACTCTAAACAATAACGCTTTTAGGACAATAATTAATTGTTTATTCCTACCTGCATAACAGCCCGGTCCAGTTCGCTGAATTGGTGTGGGAAAAGGTGTTGGTTTGGAAAGATGACTTCCCACAGATCGCTGACGTAGCCTCTATTCATTACGTATTCTCCAAGTCTGCTTCGTAGCTACGATAAAACCCCAATTTTAACTCGTTAATGGTTTATTGAATGTTTAAAACGACAGATGTTAGCCTATTTTTTACGTAGAATAATAAATTAGTTGTTTTCTCAATGTTGTTATGACGTTATACGCACGTCCCCAAGACGTTTTTGGAACATCGCTGCGTCTGTAGTAGAACATGTGTCGTTGTCTTTGTCAAGCATGATTCAAAGTGTCTATTAATACCATAAACCAAATTTAGTGAGAAAAAGATGTGGAACTTAACTTTTAATGATGCAATTTGTCGTGAAGTAAGAGTGCCTTACCTCACAAAGCGTTTTTGTCAGACTGGGGCGCGCGCGCTGCTCCAAACGTCTCTGTGCGCGTGAGTGAGAAAACGGTTCCGCGCGCTCGGCCAAAACATTTAATCAAGTGAAATAAAAAACGAGACAACTTTTTACAGAAATACCGAAAACAGCCTGTAAAAAAACGTTTAATCATTGTTTGTAAAATAAATGTCTGTAAAACCAGGAGTCTGAGAAACCTTTTTCAGAATGGAGAAATGAATATAACTGGAAAGTTTGGTGTAGTAAGTGACTCAATGAAAGAGGAAAAAAAAACTAATTTTGTGAAACAGTCTTTAAAAATATGTTCTGTGATTTAATTTTACAGTCACAAACTGATAACATAAAGAAAATTAGCCCAATTTCACATAATTAGTAGCAAAAAAACGTTTCTGCTTGTAGTGTCAGACAAAATGCAGTAAAATTGAGTGAAATACAAGGCAGTCGTGGTAAAATGACTTACATTTGCCTCTTATCTTGGGTTTTCCCCCTCAAACCCCACGTTACAGCTGCCCAAGAGAGCGTTCTTCTAATTAATCTCACGATGCAGCGCGCGCTCATCCACTATTTTTCGTCATTTATTTTTAATGACGCAGGAGCTTTGGACTGCTCACTCGGCCAAATAGACCCCATGAGATGGAACATTTGGAGCACCAAAGGCTAGTGAATCAATGAAGTGCTCCAGTAAACACTTCACAGAGAGGAATCGTGTGGACTTGCATGTAAATGAGACCACAGCCAACAATAACAAAAAAACGGGCTAGAGAGATGGTGCTGTCCAGTGCTGAAAACATACAGTCGCTGTACATCAAATGCACCAGGGTACATTTTCCGTCCTGAAAGGTAAGTTGATATTAATGTAAGTTCCTTGAGTTTCTCAAACATATTATCAGATTGCAAGCAGGTCAAGGTGCTCTGGGATTGGCTAACCCAGTGACCAGACCTGAACAATATTGAGCATGTGGAGCAAGATGAAGGAGGAGACATTGATGATGAATCCAAATAATCTTGATGAACTCTGGGAGTCCTGCAAGAACGCTTTCTTTGCCATTCATGGCAGATGACTTTATTAATTTTATTAGAGTCATTGCAGAGATGTATGGATGCAGTCCTCCAAGCTTATGGAGTCATACACAATATTCATTATTTTTCCAATGTACCATGGCTTTATATTTTATACTGTACATTTTTTGGGGTTAAGTGACAAGACTTTTGACTAAGCAAAGTCAGACCCTAAATCCAAATTTAATTATTTAATTTTAAATAATTAAAAATCAAGGCATGATCATATTTTATTTGGGTAAAATAAGTGTAATCTAGAGGACTTTGCCTTTCATATAAGCCACTTCTAATATCAAATAATCAACTAGAAGTCAAGTTATTATTTGTTGTTAAGAACTTGGATAGGCGACAAGACCTTTGTCAGGTGGTGTACTACCATTTAAGCTTATCAGAGTCAAAGTACGACATTTTAGGATGACAAAAGATTGTTTGAAATAAACTCAGAAATCACAGTGTGCAGATTAAAAAAACTGAATTTTATTCAGCAACATCGACGCCTACATGCATTTCTCCTCAAAAGGCATTTGATCTTGACTATATCCACATCAGGCTTCTTCTCTGCAACCATTTTAAAGCTTCTTACTTCAAGCAGACTAAAGTTGCTGACTCTTAAGCCCAAAATGGCCCTGTGATTGTCAGAAAGTCTCCATTTCATCTCTAGTGGTCCTGCTGACCTTATCTAAAGTGCAATGACAGCAGTCCAGTTTTTTCACTGTCAGATCAGAGGCGCCCGACAGCTCTCAAAAATACAGCTCGATTGCTTTATAATCTTTACCTGGACAAAGAGCCAATAAGCAATTCAACCACTTGGCAAAGACCTCCGAATACACTATAATTAGATGTGAACCCATTCGCCTCAGCAACAATATGCATTAGAAGTAAAAACCAGCAATTGAATTCAACACAATCCCCATAATTCACAACAACGCTGTCACCATAGGGGAATGAAAAGCTATAATGCAGGGTGTAGAGGAGATAAACAGCACCTCGGGCATCTCATTAACTCTGGCTTGTGGATCAGAGTTTTCAGTGTTGTACAATGTTTCAAACGGCAGCATATGGAGAGCTGGTCTCAAACGCACTCACCAGATCAGAAGCACCAGATGTGATGTATCTTGGCTTCTCTGTCACTAATGACAACATGGTACATCTCATCCGGTCCCAAAAGGCATGGCAGTCGTTACTTTCTTCATGACTTGCTCTGGAATGGAAGAGCATGTTAATGTCAAGTGACTGGAATCAACTAGATAAGAAGTTAAACAACCATTTGATAAGTTTGGGGTGTAAATACTCAAAATGTATCTCTTGGATCTGACTCAGTTGACTGTAAAAACACAATTACTTAAAAAATAATAATTTTTTAAGTGTTATTATTTACTCACCCTCAACCTCTTCTATGGACACTAACAACAAGACTTCCAAGCATATATTTTCCATCAGTCGATTTGAATGTTATGACTCGATTGAATGGGCGCTATCAGTGGTTATCAGCTGATAGATATGGTCTAGTAGGGGCCTTCTGTACCTACTGGTAGATTCAGAAGGCTGTTATCATTCATCCACATGGTTAATCAGCTATATTATATTATATTATATTATATTATATTATATTATATTATATTATATTATAGGGCAAAGCAGTGGCGCAGTAGGTAGTGCTGTCACCTCACAGCAAGAAGGTCGCTGGATCGCTGGTTCGAGCCTCGGCTCAGTTGGCGTTTCTGTGTGGAGTTTGCATGTTCTCCCTGTCTCCGCGTGGGTTTCCTCCGGGTGCTCCGGTTTCCCCCACAGTCCAAACACATGCGGTACAGGTAATTTGGATAGGCTAAATTATCCGTAGTGTATGAGTGTGTGTGTGGATGTTCCCAGAGATGGATTGCGGCTGGAAGGGCATCCACTGCGTAATAACTTGCTGGATAAGTTGGCGGTTCATACCGCTGTGGCGACCCCAGATTAATAAAGGGACTAAGCCGACAAGAAAATGAATGAATGAATGAATGAATATTATATTATATTATTAATTAAATTTGCCATTAATAGTATTTTATTATTGTCTACTCCAGGGGTGGGAAACTCAATTCCTGGAGGGCTGAAGCCATGCAGTTTAGTTCCAACCCTACTCCAACACACTTACCTGTAGATTTCAAACAAGCCTGAAGTACTCAATTAGTTTGATCAAGTGTGTTTAATTAGGGTTGGAATTAAACTATGCAGAGCTGCGGCCCTTTTGGAACTGAGTTTGACACCTGTGGTCTACCCCTACCCAAACCCTCAAAGTAATGTAAAAACAGATCTGGTTTTCAGAGCTGATAACCACTGATAATGTCCATTCAATTGAGTGATAACATTCGAAGCGGATAGTTTCCATCACATAATTAAAATATAATTTATTTTATCTCATATATTTGGCTTTTTTCTCACAAAGTAAATAAATATCACTGTTTAAAAGGTCACCATTTGTTTTTATTCATTACCTGACGTTATATTGTGTAAAGTAATTATTTAAAGACATGTTGTTTATGCTATATGTTGTTGTTATCTGCAAAACTGGAATTAAACTAAATACGTTTAGTTTACTTATTTACTTTTTTCTTTTATATGTAGATTTTTTATTATTTGTTATTTCTCTTTATTTGTGTTGATCCTACTTTGTGTTTTGCTTATGTGATTGTATTATTTGTGCTTTAAAATTGAATATTACAATAAATATAATATAATAAAATATGTGCAAGGTTAACTCATACACATTGTTGACAGAGCTGTGAGTTTACACCTCTGTGAACAGAAAAAAAGCATTAATATCTGATTTTTTAAAATCAGATCTGTGACTTGGTATGATTGTGAATGTATGACATTTCAAGCAAGTCAGGATTAAACTCGATATTAATTTTTAACAGCAAGAAAGGTTATTGTTTTATATATTAATCCAACTGAAAAAAAAACATATGAGATACAAGTTAATATTTAAAAGGTCAGAATTGTGCAAAATAAATCCAACTTCCATAGAACAGCTGAGTCTGGCCGTTTTGAAACTATTTTAAGGTTATACATTAGAATAAAATACAACAGTAAGTAAGTAATAAAGTATATTTAGGTGGGTTTTTAATCACAAAATTAAGCCCAACGGGCACTTGTCAGGCTGATAACCAGTATTAAGGTTTACCGCCGGATTAAAACAGTCAAAGTTTTCTGTTATACCATTCATACATTATATGAATGCTGTTGTTTGTTTAAATGTTTTTCACAACTATTCTATTTTGTTATTTTAGGACAGACAAGAACCACTACATCAAAAGCTACATGTCCAAAATATTTTAAACATTTTTTAAAATAAAATAAATCTTTAATAGGTGGAAAAGTTGTTGGTTTTTACCCAGACGTTTAAAAAGAACATATTTTGGAGCAGTAATCACAATACCGCAAAACTGTAATATTTTTATCCAAGGTTATCAAACCGTCAGAATCTTAAACCGGCCCATGTCTAGCCTGGACTACTTGATCCTGCTTTTTACATGGCAACTCATCAAAAAAGCATAAAAAATAAACAAAACATTGTTCTGAGCCGTTATTATTTCTTTCATTAATCACAAAGTTGACCAAAACAAAAACGACTGAATGGAGCATACACTAACCTGCTAAAAAAAACCTGCCTGGAGTCTCAGATTCATAAAAGCAACTACAGCAATCCTTCTTAGTTAAGCAAAACCATAGTTGCGATCTGAATCTGTACAAAGCATGTGTGTGTACATTAAGCTCTATGTGCAGAAAGAGAAACGTCTGAAGCGCAACACGCTCCTCAGTGCTGAACAAGTCATTAAAGGGAGAAATAGCACCGAGGGAAATAGCTTTCCAGGCAGGATGAAGGCGCCTAATAAACTCACGTCTGTGATGGATGACTCTGCAACCACAAAAGCCAGAACACAAAGAGAATCTATGCAACCCAGTCATACACAAAACGCAATACATCACATCTGCATGCCTGTCACATACACAACAACTCCTGCCTGCATCGCTTCAGTAAAGGTGATAAGTGATAAGAATCAGGTGGAGGATAAACA